ACAGACTCACACAAACACAGACCCACAGACAAACACACACACACACAGACAGACAGACTCACACACACACACACACACACACAGACAGACAGACAGACTCACACACACACAGACCCATAGACAGACAGACAGACTCTCACACACACACACACAGACATACAGACAGACTCACACACACACACACACACACACATACACACACACACAGAGCAGGGAATTAGCTGCTGCTGTTTAGCTTTTACGTCACAGAACAAACACACAGAAAGTCCCCCTCACCCCCAAAATTCCAGTAAATATGCACTCATTTGTGTCCAGCTTCGGCGGCGGTATTTACAGAAGTGACGTGGGGGGGGGGGGTGTGATTTGAGTCCATTAGGTCTGCTGAAGCGTGGAAAACGCCGTGGGGTGGGGGTTGTTGGCTAGTGTGGAAAGGACAGCATCCCACCATTTGGTCAGGGCTATAATGGCAATAGAAAGCATTGAAGCCACGCCCCCCACGTGAGCTGCCGGCCAATGAGGCGTGTCAATGAGTACACAGCGTTCCGGCTGAGCGGTCGTCTGCCAGCACCGTTAGCTACGCGCCACACACTCCCGGTTACTTGTGCGGGTCGCTTTACGTCCCTGCCACCAGCTGCCACTAATGAGGTGTGGCTGAACTGCTGCTATCGGACCGATCAAGGCAACCCGGGGTCACGTGTGGCCAAACCCGTGTGTATTCAGGTGCCCATGACCAGGTCCCAGACCTGGGTGGGCCGGGTTTGTCTGTGATTAATCTCCTTTGGTGGATGGGGGGGGGGGGTCGTATAATTCACCAGCTTATAAAATTAACTGAGGTGGGAAGCAAAAAATGGGCCAAGATTCATACAGAGGGGGCAACCTTATTAGCCAATGATATGTTTTCAATTGCTGAGTGACAGTGGAGGGAGCCAATCAGCATTAAGCTGGGGCAAGTACCCCCTGTGGCCCCACTCCTGTATATCTGTTGATTCACAAGGTAAATAACAGTGTAGATAATTAAATTATGGGTCACTTGTGGCATCGATGATGCAATGAGACCTAAGCAAGCAGACGGAGGCCCACAAGGTGGCCATTCGCAAACATCACGTCTCATGGTGTGCGGCTCTGCTGATTGGCCCTCGTTTACACGCCCATGTCGTCTGACTCCCCTTCAATGAACAAGCGCTATATGGCAGGGTATGGGGGAGCAGCGGTGGGGGATGAGAGCGATGATCTGACCGAGGATATAATTATTACTCTGCGATACTCCAAAATAACAAGGAAAAGCTTTGAGACTGTAAGACAGCAATCAATGTTATCTCAGCCGCACTAATTACAGAGGGGCAGCTTAATTAATTAGGTTCAAGCAGCAGTGCTGTTTGTAATAATACACAGTTATTAAACTTACCCCAGGCCCAGTTATAATAGTAAGCTTCTCCAAGCAGATAGACATCAAAAGCTGTTTCTCCATTTCCCATCCCGGGAATGACATGCCGTGGTTACGAGGAAGCAGATAAAATAGATGGACGCCTCCCAGCAGGAAGCAGCATGCCATCTACATGCGGACCAGTCAGTACCCAGCTCACTGTTTACCGTGTGTCACTGTGCTGGGTAACGACTGCATGAGAAGGTCGAGATCAGAGAGAGACATCAGGCTAACATTTATGTTTGTTTCTTTCCCTGGGGCTGACTGGTGAGCCTCGGGAATGTTTTGTTTCCACACCGGCTGGGATTTTCACCAAAACAAATCAGGAACCAGCTGAGTGTTTTCTGTTGCTTGTCATTCCGTAATTCCCGTGCAGCGTCCCGATGACGGACAGAAGCAAGACCCGCGTAGCATCACGCTGCTGACTCCCAAAACCAGCAGGCAGCTCAGCCCAATACAATCAATTCAGACGTGACATATCAGGGGAGAAGAGAACGACTGGCCAACACATTTGTATATGCCCCGCCCAGCTACATGATAAATGCCCCGCCCAGCTACATGATAAATGCCCCGCCCAGCTACATGATAATGCTCCGCCCACCAGCATGATCAATGCCCCGCCCACCAGCATGACCAATGCCCCGCCCACCAGCATGATCAATGTCCCGCCCACCTGCATGATCAATGTCCCGCCCACCAGCATGATCAATGCCCCGCCCACCAGTATCATCAATGCCCCACCCACCAGCATGATCAATGTCCCGCCCACCAGCATGATCAATGTCCCGCCCACCAGCATGATCAATGTCCCGCCCACCAGCATGATCAATGTCCCGCCCACCAGCATGATAATGCCCCGCCCACCAGCATGATCAATGCTCCGCCCACCAGCATGATGAAAGTCTCTCCTACCTGTGTGCACATTCCCTTTGTGCTTCTTGAGGGACTCCTTGCTTTTGAACCTCTTCCCGCAGCTCTCTGCCTTACAGATGAACCTGGCATCCCCTCTGCATGCCTCCCTGTGCTGCTCAAAGCTGTGGGGGGGGGGGGCAGGGCGGCTGCGCAGTAACTGTGAGGTGTGGCCTACCTGGACTCGGAGCTGAACGTGCTTTGGCACAGAGCGCACTGGTGCACCTGGGTGCCATCGCCAGCGGAGCTCAGGCTGTCGGAGCAGTGGAGCACGCTGGGGGGGGGGGCATGCGGGGGGAAGGAGAGCATAAGTGAAGGTGCGCAGCAAACACTCCGACATACACATCCATAAAACAGGAGCAAGCACAGCTATATATGGGTACATACTGGTGCACGTACTCAGGTACACAGAGGTAAATCCACTCAGGTACATTATATGGGCAAAAGTACTGGGACACCTGTGGCCTGTACTACGAAGCGGGGTTACTGGCTTATCGGGATAACTTGTCGGATTTAAGGTAGTCTGGGCAAAATGTAAGTGAACGAATATGAAGTACATTTAAACTGTGGTACCTTAAATCCGACAAGTTTCCCCGATAAGCCAGTAACCCCACTTCATAGTATAGGCCACCGGCCATAACACACGCAGGAACTTTTATGACACCCCATTCTAAATCCATATGCATCGATACGGAGTTTGTCCCTTCTTTGCAGCTATCACAGCTGCCGCTCTTCTGGGAAGGCTTTCCAGAAGTTTATGGAGTAAGTCTATAGGAATTTTCACCCATTTTTGCCCAGAGCATTTGTGAGACCAGGCACAGATTCTGCACGTAACGGCCTGGCTGACAGTCTTCCTTCTAGTTCATCTGAAAGGTGTTTGATGGGGTGGAGGTTAGGGCTGTGGGGGCCAGGCAAGTTCTTCCAAACCAAACTCACCCAACCATGACTTTATAGACCGTGATTTGTGCATTGGGGCAGAATCATGCTGGAACAGAAAAGGACCCACAAAGGGTCCCACAAACTTGGAAATATGGAATTGTCCAAAATGTCTTGGTATGTTGAAGCATTAAGAGTTTCCTTCACTGGAACTGAGGGGCTTAACTTAGCCTCTAAAAAACAACCCCATACCATCATCTCCTCCTCCACCAAACATTATAGCTGGCACAATGCAGCCAGACAGGTAATGATCTCCTGGCATCTGCCAAACCCAGACTCATCCATCAGACTGCCTGACAGAGAAGAGTAATACGTCACTCCACAGAACCCGTTTCCACTGTTCCAGAGCCCAGTGGTGGTGTGCTTTACACCACTCCATCCGACACTTGGCACTGCGATTGGTGATGTGAGGCTTGCATGCAGCTGCTCAGTCATGGAAGCCCATTCCGTGAATTTCCCAGTGCACAGTATTTGTGCAGGAGTTAATGCCAGAGGTACTTTGGAATTAAGCGAACAGAACACTGGCGACATTTACGCAGCATGTGCTTCACCACTCAGCGACTCCGCTCTGTCACTTTACATGATCTGCCACTTCTTGGCTGAGTTTCCGCTGTTCCTAAACACTTACACTTTGCAATAGTACCACTTAAAATTGACCGTGGAACATTTAGCTGGGAAGAAATTTCATAAACTGACTTATTGCAAAGGTGGCATCCCATGACATCACAAATGTTTGGAAACATCTAAATTAAATGTTAAACAGGTTGTCCCAGTACTGTTGTCCATGTGGTGTATATGCAGGTGCATATTGGTGTATACAATCTGACTTAAAGAGCTACTTACATGTGTATTCACTCTGATTTAAACAGATGCATATAAGTGAATACACTCTGGTACATAGAGGTGTATATACTTAAGTATATATGTACATGCAGGTGAATACACTCTGGTATATGCAGTTATATACAGGTGTATACACTCAGCTAAATACAGGAACATGCACTCAGGTATGTACAGGCACCCACACTCAAGAACATACAGGTAAATACACTCAAGCATATACATACAGTTGTATATCTTCAGGTGCAAGTACAAACATTGAGGTGCACACACTCAGCTCTATACACATACACACTCAGCTATATAAAGGCGTACACACTGAGATACGTACAGCTACATACACGTACATACACTCAGGTGTGTACAGCAACATATGACTACACATATTCAGATATGTACCGGCACACACACACTCATGTATATACACTCAGATATATATAGGCACACACACTCAGGTATATACAGGCACACATACTCAGGTATATACACTCAGATATATAAAGGCACACACACTCAGGTATATACAGGCACACATACTCAGGTATATACACTCAGATATATACAGGCACACATACTCAGGTATATACACTCAGATATATATAGGCACACACACTCAGGTATATACAGGCACACACACTCAGGTATATACACTCAGATATATACAGGCACACACGCTCAGGTATATATAGGCACACACACTCAGGTATATACAGGCACACATACTCAGGTATATACACTCAGATATATATAGGCACACACACTCAGGTATTTATAGGCACACATATGTACACACAATGAGGGGCATGGCTGGGACTCACTGTCGTTGCAGGGCCTGCTTGACAGGAAACCTCTTTCCACAGTTGCGGCACTTGAACTCCTTGTCGTCGCCGCTGGGCCGCTGGTGAAGGCTCTGAAGGTGGGCGGCCAGAACCTCCTCACTGGGAAAGCTGCTCTCACACAGCAGGCATGGGTGGTCCTCCTTCTTAATCATCACGTCTGGGGGCCAGCATATACCACATTATTTATTCAGCTGCAGGGCCCACCAATGATACAACAGGACTCAAACCCACAACCTTCCGGATGTGGGCATAGATCCCAAATCTGAGTCAGTTCACACTTTACCTGATTCTGCCACGTGCTTGGCCTCCCTGCTGTTTTCATCCTCATCTTTCACAACCTCCTCCTCTTCCTCTTCTTCATCCTCCTCCATGTCACTATCCAGGTAGCCAATCAGGAGCTCCGTGTCCGTTTCAATATCATCCACAGCCAGGTAAAAAATGTTCTCTCCATCCTAAGATGGAGACAACCCAAATGGCATGATGTGTATGTACTACATACCACAGTCAGAAGAAAAAACATGTTCAGTTCATTTTATTATCATTAAACTCTTTCATATCGATCTTGAAGAAACTGCACTCATATAAAACACAAAACTGGCCTTTTGGAAAACATTTCACCTGCTTATGTCATTAAAAGAATTTGCCGTTCTGTTTTTTTAAAAAAAATATTCCGCAGTCTGTCTGAATTGGATTTATGTGCTCCATAAACATCAGTATTTTTCAAACCTCAAACCTGTGATAGCCACAGGTATTGCTGCCCGTCGTCGGTCAGTCGATACTCGCCGGGATCTTAATCTCCCTGCCTTCCGATTCATTGTCCTGCGCATTCATCCACTGGCCCTTTCAGACAGAGTATTCTCGCTCGGACACCCTGCCACACTCACTCTGAGACGTCTCACACTGTTTTTTACATTTTCTTTCCATACTCTGGCCCCCCAAGCAAGCCTCTCCACCCAGGACGTGTTTGTTCCTCCACAGACCTGCTGGAAACCACGCTTGGATGCCTCTGACAGTGTTTTTCTTCTTCCCCATCCAATTATCAGTTTGATAACCATAATTTGTACCCTGAGGAGAGCATTTAAGAACAGCAGAGGACTAACCCCCCCCCCCCAAGTGGGGGAAAATTCTCATCTTGGCTGAAGGCTCTTCTGTCTGAACACGCCGGGTGAGGAACTTAAACGGTGTCTGGAGCGAAAGTGGGTCGGAGTGGTTCTACTAAAAGAGACAAGAAGCCTGGAATTACAGAGACAACGAACGGGCCGTCGGAACACCCTCCGGATCGGGATGGCATCTAACAGACGAGATCAGAACCACTCATGCCACTTCACAACCAACAGACTTAGAACCTCATTGACGTCATTGTGGATGCAGAGTATATACATAATGTCATCATATCAATAACAATAATAATAATAAGGATGATGATGATGTGGTGGTGGTGACTCAGCGTGTACCACTGATGCACACACCTCAGTTGGACAGGCTCTTTTGGTATTCCTGCTTTGTCAGACATGTTGCAATTCCTGATCAGACCTTCCATGCCACATTTCCCAGGCTGCATTGCAAGGGATCTCAGCGACTGACCCAAACTACATCTCCGCCACTCTTTATGGTCAGACTTTTGGTCACAGTTGCAGTCGTCATTGTATCGATGGTAACACCATGGAAACACGGTCACAATGACCATAGGGGTTCAGTCAGAGACACGGTCAGATTAAACAGATACTTCCCCCCACCCACCCACCGGGCAGTATCCTACTACGTGGTGGAATTATGGGTAAGTCAGCAGAACAACATACAAATACACAGCTTGCTCTCTGTCTCAAGCAGCAGAAACATCATTCAAAGCACAACACGTCTGAGATATTTTTCCTCTTAACGACACAGTAACAAATGAATAACTTCATTTACTTTCTCACAATCACTTACTTTCCTTCTAGACAGTCATTGGTTATCAGCTAGCTTCATTGCAATCACAAATGTCTCCCACAGTGTTACTCAATTAACAATAATGTGGTTTGAATCAATTAAAATGTCCTCCTCTGCTGTCTTCTGGCATTCGTTCTTTCCCTCGCCCCTGTTTTTTCCCTGTTTCTCGCAGCATGTATGGATGTAATAATGCATTGCCAACCGCTCTTGTCAAGTGCCTTGGATTGAAAGGCGCTATATACAAACAAATTGGACTGAAGTGAAATGTAACACGAAACATGTCATGTCATGTCAACACCTCAATGGCACTGTAGGGTGGGAAACCAAAACCAGGATTACATCTGAAGGCTTATCCTTTGAAAGACATCACAGAACATGTCTGCTTGTTTACTTACAAAAATGAAAGTGCCGCAGCAAACAACATGAAACAACATCAGATATCTGTTTGGTTTACAGTCAGGTTCGGTTTATAGGATTACGTATGACTGCGGTTTGCCCAGGTGTGGCCTTTAGAAACACCAAGAACTTGAGGATTTATGGGGGTGGGGGCAGCGCCTCTGTCCTGTTTACAGCGACATCATGCCTTAATCCCCATACACACAGGCCCCAGGCTGACTGAAACACTAATTCTGCTACACCCACGTGGCACGAGCAGAAAGAGGGCTGGATCGCTGTGCCCCCCACCCCCATCCACCCCACCTCAGGACCTCACAATCCCAGAGACGGTGAGTGGGTCGTGAGCATAATCCCATAATGCATCATGTTCAGGAGTCCCAAAACAAAGACTCGACCTCAGACAACCAAGACTCCCCGTCCCTCCCAGAAGCTCCCGTCACCAAGGTGTCCCACCCCAGCACTAACCTACCCCACCCACACACAGAAGCCATTGCTTGATGGCGTGCAGCTCTATAGGTTTAGTACTCTACGTCTGCCATCGGCAGGTCATTGGTTTGAATCCCATTGCTGGCAATAAGGTCATATTACAGTTGGGGCCTTAATTCTGAAAACTGTGCAGGGTGCTGGATAAACGGCTGACCCTGTGCACGAACACCAAGCCTCACCCTCACTTCCATGCGTCCTAATGAAGCGAGATCAGAAAACCATACCAGAATAACATTGCTTTTGAAAATACCATCAAAATGAACCACGGTATAATGTCTGGACGATATGAAAAACTAGATAACACCCAAGCCTACGGACTCTGACTCCCTGTACAATCCGGATCCAATAACAGAGTAGAGATCAGGGTTAATTGAAAATAAAGTAAAAAATAAGAATAAAAAATGAGTCAGGAAAATACCTAGCTCTTAGTGGGCTGGGTACTGTACAGCAGAGAATCGCATGACCTAAACGGCGAATTCTCCATCTTTGGCGCCACCGTAAAGGTCCCCGAGCATTTGGGGTTTCCCATCAGACCTGGAAAGTTCAAAGTCATTACAGTAAGATGTTCACCAGGGCCGGCGTGATTATGGGGACAGGTCAGAGCAGAACTCTTTCATTTATCATCATTGGCCTGGCCAGCCAAAAAAGGCCACGTGCTAATGAAATCAAAGTGCTGATACAGCCTGGAGGGACGGGATATGTTTGGGAAAAACAACTCTAGTAAACGACACGGCTCGACGGATCCCAGAGCCTGTCGTGTCCCAAGCTCACGGCGTCCGGCGGGGTGGAGGCAAGATGAAAGGCGATTCTGTGCTTTCCGAAACATGGCAGACGGAACCTTAAAAAGGAAAGAACTCCCAGGTGGAACTCCCAGGTGGGGTGGAAGGGACTTGCTCAGGTGGAGGTGACTCACCCTGACGGGCGGTGAGGAATGTGCTGAGCGCTGGCGGTATCCATGGCGACGACGCACCGAGTATGCTCTCCTCCCAGGTGCCTTCTCCACCTAATTCATTTTTGTTCTTTTTTCTCCCCTTTGCCTTTTGGGTGTTGGAGTGCAGCAGAGGTAGGGGTGCTATACAGGGGAGGGGCCACAAGGGGCACCACCCCAAGCTGAAAGCTGATTGGCCCCTGTAGTGCCCTCTCCCCTTCACTCATCGATTCGAAACATATCATTGGCTAACGATAAGGTTGGCTCCTCTATAAATTATGGCCTCTCTTATGCCCCCCACCTTAAAAAAATCCTACAATCTCCCTTGAGCCGAGGCCAGTTTGAAACCTGATATCAGCTCTTAGGCACAGAACAGCACGAGAACCCAGTCCTGTCAGGCACCGGCGTGTATGGGGGATGCACCCTCCCCCCAGGGGGTCGGGGGACAGACTCAGACTAAACAAAGCTCCCCCGAGCACCTCATCGCTCCCTCCTCCTCACATTCCCTCTCTCCATCTCTATCTCCATCTCCATCTCTCCCTTTATCCGCCGCGGCCCGGCATGGGAGATGGCACTAAGATGGTGCCAGCGGGCGGGTGGGCGGCTGGGCGACGTGGCGGGACTCTCACCTGAATGGCGGCCAGGTTCTTCTGCTCCTGAGATGGAGCCTGATGGACGAAGCGCAGCCAGTTGGCGTGCCGGGGGTTGCTGGCGTCCAGGACGTACAGCACGTCGCCCTTGCTGCCTCTCACCTGCAGGGGGCGAAGGAGGAGCTTTCACCTGTTCAGCTGGATGAGAGGGCGAAGGATTCCGACACGGAAATGTCTGACAGGCAAAGGCCTGTGACGTGAAAGGACTGTGTAGGGGACTTCCCCAAAAAACCGGGTGTGCGCTGGATCCAGGCCCTGGGGGGAGCCGCTCGGCATTTGATGTGTTGAAAGATCGTGCCTCTTATTCCGCTGAATCCCCCCTCCCCCCCGCCCAACACAATCGACTCTGTGACATGCCGCAATCCACACTGCGCAAGACAGGGAGGACCAGGGGGTGTCCACTCTTACCCTATTTATTTATTTACGCCCACCACCCAAATCAGCGCATAGTGATGGGGGGGTCGGGTCACTGTGTGCATTACGAGCCCCATGCAAAGCCTGTTATTACCAGTACTGCACTATTTTACGGTGTTTCACTCAGCCAGCAGAAAATGATACGATGTCACCCAATCAATCTTCTCCACCTGAGAGGCACCACTGTAATTTTCCCTGCACCTTTCAAATTAACCTGGCATACCTGTCCCCCCCCCCTGGGGGGGGGGGAATACACCGGGGTAACTTCAGGGTGAATGCGGTGTAGCTGCCGTCCTAGATGGGGCAGTAGCCAGGTTACACCCCCTGTCACACACACACAATATGGGCAATTCAGAGACACTGATCCCCCCAAAACCGCGGGAGGAAACTACACAAATGCAAGCAGAACTTATGCTGCATTCCATTTAGCTTGGGTGCGAATGACATCACACCCAAACAAATCATTTGGCAATACCTGTACTAGTCAGGTTCACTGTTAGCCATAATTAGCAGTACCAGTACATAACAACATCATACAAACACCGCAGCAACATGTCCACAGATAGAGACGGGACAGTAGAGTGTGCGTACGACTGATTTAATGAGACACAAATCAGACATAAGTGCTAATGGACAGTATATAACTACAGCTTTCACTTAAGTTGACGATGGGCGCAGCCATCTTGAATTCTGAGGTCGGGGTTGCAGAGGTTCCTCCGGCTTTCCGAGTTGGAATTCTGACTTCAGGGGGCCTTCCAGTAGAAATTTCTGACTTGGGAATCAGAAATTCAACTTCTGAGTTCAAATGGAACTCACTAAAATACCATCCACATACACCAGTGGGACTCTAACCCCCAATCCTGGGGGGACCTGCAGTGTTAGACTCCATTCCATGTCGCCCCTAAATCCCCTGAATCCTGAATTATTACCGACGACAGATTCAGTTGACAGGTAAATAAATACATCAGGTATACAGGAATAAACTGAACCCGCCCCCTAATGGTGACAGTGTTTCTGTGGCCACCTCCCACACCAACATACCTCCCACATCAGCCGTGTATCCATGCTGTCGTCCAGGTCGCTGGCCATCTTTTTCTCCCCCGCAAAGGGCCCAAACTTCTCCCCCTGAAAGAGTCACCCACACTAAGTAATGGTACAGTAAAAGACAAAAAAAAAAAAAAAAACAGATCATTTAACGTCATAACCTCATAGACACGTCATACATGGAAACTTCGGTTTCTTATACACACTGCAGATAAATGTGTCCCACCCCGGATGGATGCATAACTATAAATGACAGCATATATAGTATAATTCAGGGGTCTTTTATGCACTTGGATTTGCATTCCTGCAGTGAACGTAACAGCTTCATATCGGGACGTAATCATCTGCCGTTTCTCCCCCCTCCCCCGCGGGCTGCCAAACTTTCCCTGCGCGAAGGCAAATCGGGAGAGCCGGGAAGCGAAAGCGCTGGCCGGGCAGGCGGGCATGCCCGCATCTGCGAGCGCACGGCGGACCTGATACGTGGCACTCCAGCCCAGCAAACGCGCCGTCCCGGACCGGACACGCAGTGCCGCAAAGTCGCGCTGCCCCGTGTGCAAACTAACCACAAAAAGCCCGAAACTCCCCTGCTGCTCTCGGCTTGTACGAATCACTCTCCTCTTTTTTTTATTTCGCTGAACAAACCTTTTTCACCCGTCTGGCGGTGTAAAGCCCGATCCCGTCTTGGACCTTAGAGGATTTCAGAGCGAACCTGTCTGGCACGTACATACCCAGCATTGCCATTGCCTATCGTGACAGTGGATGGTACATTAATAAGAAACGACAGTGGGTTGCTTTCTCTCGTTTTCTCTCTCTTTTTGGTCTGTTTGTGGGTTATTCTGCGAGCTGCGTGTCGGATCCCAGCCCAGATCCTACTTCCATATTGTTCCTGCTGCATGCGGGGCGGCCGCGCCCTCTGATTGGCTGGAAGTTTTGGGGCCGGGGGGCTGCGCGCATACCGGGGTGAGGAGCTCCGTAGCCGGCCGCTCCCCGGCGAGTGCCGCGGATCTGAAGAAGAACAAAAGAGGGAGAGGGACCGGGACCGGGACCATCCTGCTTTTTCGTTTCATTATACTCCTGCCTATTGTAGCAGTAAGGAGGCGCTCAGTGCGCGATACCCTGCTTCGTCTGGCGCTGCTGATTTAATCGGATATTTCTCGTGGTGTTTCTATAACCGCTTGGTGTCGTTGGTATCTGAGGTTCTGTCGTTCTGCCTCAGATTTACCCGACAACTATTGAAATTTCACCCAGCATGAGATACTCATAAGGGCCAATTTGATAATGTGACAATATTTGCAATAGTTATATAAACATTATCACTGCGAATGAAGAGTAGTGTGCTTATTTATTTAGACCAGATGTTATCCCAATACAAAAAAAAAAAATCCAAATTAAAATATAAACATTTTCTGAAGGCAAAGGAAAAATAAATTTGTATCATTTAAATGTTGACTGAAAAAAAGGTGTTGTATTTGTAGCCCTATAAACGCTACCCAGATAGCACACGTGTGTTAAAATGACATTGATTCCATATCAGACATTTTGAAACAACGTTGATCTTCAATCTTTCACTTTAAATCAACATTGAATCAAGGTTTTGCCATGCACCATCAATATTGGAAATCTGACCAAAAATCAATTCAGTTTCAACGCTGATAATTTAACACTGACCATAATTCAACGTTGAAACAATAACATGATCCTATCTGGGTAACATTCAACAATTAACAATGACCCCCTCATAAAATCCGAATCAGTCAGCACAGCTGGTGCTCAGCTGAGCGGGTGGGGGTCAGTTATTACTAACACTGTTCCAGGGTCAGAATCTTAGCTCAAATGATATATTCACGAGTGCAATCCTTTAAGAGCAATGTGTAGGCTATGTGGCCTTTCTTTGGAGGGGGTCAAATACTAGTTGTGTGACGTGCCAACGAACTGACAGTGAACAGAAAGTTTGTCATACAACAAAAAACATAAACTAGATTTAAAATAGCCACCGTGCACTAAACTGCTCAAGTGTACTGTGCCGGGAAAGGGAATCAGTCATTCTGGAGGCAAGAGGACAGATACGGGTGTCCTGCTGTCACTAGCGTCCAGACTGCAGCTAGAAACGAAACCCCCAAAGAGGTGATGCGGGGAGCAGTTTTGTGGATTTACATTACAGTAAGGAAATGGATGGATGGATGGATCGGATATGCGCCCCTCCTACTTACTAGAGTCGGTGCTTTGCGCAGGGGAACATGAATCGAAGGAGTCAGCAAACATCTGCCTCTGTGTGAATTCTGTTTTAATTACCTCATATAAAATCATCCGGGGGGATGACGACAGTTAGTTTAAACACAAAGGCACAAAACGAGACCCGATTTATCTAAATCCAGCCCGATCGCGTGAGAATCGCGGGACATGGGAGACCTGGCAGATGCAATCCAGTTCGCTGGTGATCTGTCCGCAGGAATGCGTGCATCTGTACCTGCGTGTCTGTGTGCCTGTTCAGGTGTGCCTCGGTGCGTGGTCCTTGTGAGTGCATGATGTAGTGAATGCTCGTGTGTATGTGTGTGTGCGCGCGCGTGTGTGTTCACGGCTGTCTCCTGGCGCGTGTGTGTGTGCGTGCCTGCATGGCGCTTCCAGCACGTTATTCACCAGCCACTTACAGCCCGCTAATGTTTAATCAGCTTTGTCTTAATGCTGTTTACAACCTCTGTTTATCTTATTGATTTAGTTCTTTTGAAGATTTGACCTAAATGCACTTTATTTGATTACTTGGAGTAAAGATTCGTTTGCACGGCTTGTTTAGAGATTCTCAGTTGATGGTAACAGGACCTGATTCCACATGACTACTGTTAACTTAAATCACAGTAACATAACTAAGTTTGACCACTAATATTTATGTGACAATAATATATCTTGATTTAGTTTAGTGTTGCACCACAAAATTGGTTCTTGATGAATAATTATTCAATTTATATGAAAAAAACATATTATGGTAGTCATAGACACATCTTTATTTCGGGGGGGGGGGGTAGCTTGTGGCCAGATGTATTTGAGATCAGATGATGAGCTCTGATGGCACAAACAGATAAACCTTCCCTTGCATTTCCTTGCACCACATCTTATAGGTTTGTGGATGATGTAGCGTTGAGGATACACAGACGGACATGCTGAGGGAGCCGCCTATGTAATATGTATTCCCACTCCTGATCTGAATCCCAAACACAGGCACATGGCTCTGCACATCTCCAGGATAACTGTCTGCTCCGTAATCGCCCTGTTCCTGAACTACGCTTTGGCTTCCTGTCCCAGAAGTCAGCAAGCCCTGCCCGCCCCCCCCCAATCCCAAAAACATACACTCCCTCACCGCACACAAACCGCATCCACCAGGGTTTGTTCAGAGAACACTCTCACCTAGAGGGTGTAACATATCACACCTTTATGTACTTTCCTGAGGTGATTTTTCGAGGCGATCCAGTGCCACCGTGTCCCCTGGAGTCTCCTCCCTCCATTTCATCCATTTCCTGGAAGACTGGGCTCACCATGGGCTGTCATTGCTCACATGATTGCTGAGGCATTGTGGGATCTCAAACAAGTCATGTGATCACTTCAGGGGCATTCTGGGAGGGGGGCAGAAGGGGACGGTGCCCTCGTGACAACATCTATGGCCTCCCCTATGCCGCCCCTAAATAGACAAGTTCTGGGAAAAATTGAGACAAATACATATTTTTTTAAGAATCTGCATTTTTAAATCCTGGTTAAATCGTGGTTCTGCTAGCAGAAGGTTACACTGAGCAGCAGGATGCTTCCAGGTTCAAAATTTCTAAGACAGCAGTTCATAAGAAGAAGGTGAAGCAGGAGACACTGGGAACAACCAGAAACCAGCCAGGTAAAGGGCGGATGCAGCTTCCAAATGCCAGAGATGACTGTTAACTTATCTGACAGTTTCTCATGAATCAGCGGATGACATCAAGTGACCTTCAAAAGGAATGGGAAACATTAAGTGCAGGTGTGAAGTGCACTGCTAGGACAGTTCATATCAGGCTCCTAGAAGCAGGACTGAAGTCCCATAAAGCAAGATAGAAGCTCTTCATCAAGGAGAAACAGAGAAGAACCAGGCTGCAGTTTGGAAAACTGTATGTCAATTCGGTCTGAAAATTATTATTTATTTATTTATTTATTTATTTATTTATTTATTATTATTTACATTTATATATGTGGGCTCAAATGTTGTGTGCTGGGACCAGACAAACACAGACATAAGCACGTTTTCTTGACAGAGTCTTAATGTGAGAGCTTCTTAATACTGGCAATCTTGTGTAAGTAATACATGGAGGACATTCAGGTCTGATGCAGTTGCCCCTCCCTAACAGAACAACTGGCACCAGTCTGGTCCCCCCCAGTTGAAATGGTCTAGAACCAGCACTGGATCACTTTACGTTCCTGAAATACTGTGACGTCCCTTTTTATTTTTCCTTTAACAAAACATCGAAGTATAAGTTTAGATGGAAAAAGACGGCTGGGGAGCCAGACGACGTGGTTAATCGCTCAAGGAGGCCGATGCCCGTGACTCTGAATCCTGCCTGAGTCGTTATGATGCGGCCGGTTGCAGTTACCTTCCACATGGCGTCGTTCAGATGCTGTATTTTAAGCGTTACCTCTCAGGTCATTCCAAGCGCTGCGCTGTGAATACTCTGAGCGCTTCAGAATTTCCGTGAGCGCTGTTCACCATGATGCTTAGGGCAGCGGGCTGGCAGTTGGGGTTGATGACCACCAAAGAGGACACCCCCTTCATCTGAACGACATGCCAACACAGGGCTTTCAGAGCTTCCTTCGACAGCCACGGATTCTATCTTTCCACATGCGATCGTCTGAAGCTAGCGTGGGGTATGACCCTGAGCTTCACTCACCGCCCCTTGCTGCCACCCTCTGAATCAAGTCTGAGGTACACCACCAATCCCCAGCGTGGTGATACCTGTGAAGCAGAATAACCGTCAGATAATGTTGTCATTCTAAATTGTTCTCGGTGGCGACGGTTGCTTCAGCAAACCTTGCATCACTTCCTGCCCACCCCACCCCGACAAATAATAGCCATGTATAAACTAAGACTCTGCTGAACTCATGTCCAGCTAAATCACCATAATACACTAGGAGCAACCATTAAAGGCATGAACCAATCAGAGCAGGGAGGGCAATGCACCAATCAGAGAAATGGATGCTAACCCCCACTACACAGGTATACCAGATCACCTGAAAACAGTGTACCTAGGGGGGTGTAATGTGAACTTTAATAATGTAATGTGGCTTTTTTAGGACAAACATCACATCTATCCAAGGTAAACAGCAGTCAGGGTCCTGAAATAGTTCATTAGTAATATACAGATTAACAGTCATGGAGCTCTAGTGTAAAAAGGCGAATGTTCATTAGAGGCTTGTATAAAATGTTTTACAGATGTTCCTTCAAAATGTCCTTCTGGTATAATACTGTATTTGCTGTTATTCAGTCCCTACATAATATGTCTGTTTATGACCTGGCGACTACAGAATTCTGACTAGCTTTATACATACTACATATATATATGTAATGCAGAATTCCTCAAATCCCCACATCTTTAATTCAGATCTAAACACATCTGCGCGCCCGTCGTTAAATACGGCCACCCATAAAAACCTGGGAATCCCAGGAAAAGGCCACCCTCTGCTCCGTCCGGGGGTCGGAGGTCGGGGGGCGGATTTGGACCATGCTGGCGGTGCGGAGCTGGGCCAGGACAGGATGAGATGAGCCCTCAGCAGGCCTGGCGGGCCCAGACCCGTTCAGCTGCGTAGCAGAGTCCCAGGACGGCCGCGCCAAGACACAGAAATTTGGATCCTGCCCCCCTCTCTCCAGTGCCAAGAAGACACCCAGAACGGGCCAAAAATGACTGAATTCCTTCAGCCCAAAGCCATTCCCAGCAGCTCCCCAAGAACCACAGAACCCCCCGCCCCCCCCAGGACATGGCAGAAAGGCGCGTAAAGAAATACGTCCTTTTAACATTTACTTTTTTTCGCCAAGTAAATATTTTTACGCCAAATGACTTCAGCCGTCGCAACTAGGAAATCAAGCATGATTTCTCTCTCTCTACAAGTCCATTCTGGGGGAAAAAATTAAACAAAATTAAACAAAAAGAATAATTCTCTTTCTCAAACTACCCCAAATACTCAGGAGTCAGGGTATAATTCACGTTTTGTACACCTGGCCAGGCAGCATTTCTGCAGGTTAATAGCAGTACAAATCTCTTCTTGAGAAACCATCCCATTGGGAGAACCAGCATCACCAATCACTAGCCTGGTAAGCGACTTCCTGTCCCGCCCCACGACTGACCTTACGGGCACTTCCTGTGCGCTAATTGCAGACATTTTTCAGATAATTTTTCAAACATGGTCCCCCTGCATATGTCCTCCGTGACTGCAGCTCGCAATGATTTATTCTGGCTGTGGGTTCGTCATTCTGCCCCCCATCTGCCCCCCATCTGCCCCATCCTCCTCGACAGCCCTCGTTATGATCTAACACATATATGGTTTTTATCTGAAGTTTATCTGTCCTCTTTAAGAAGCTGCCTTCCACTTAAGGCCTTGCTGATTTTAATCCGATCCCCTCAAGCATTAGCGATAAGTGGGGTGGCTTCTCTTGGAGATACCGACAATTCGTAAGGACCTCACACACACACACACACACACACACACATACACACACACACAGGTTTGTAATTATATCTTTGTGGGGACTCTCCATTCATTTCTATGGGGAAAACTCTCATCCCAATAAGACGACCCTAACCTTACATTTTGGGGACATTTGGTCCCCATGATGTAATGTAAACATAATACACACACACATGCATGCACACGCTTAGGCCTAGTTTTCCGGTTCCTTTGAGGAACTCGTATTTGGACGGGTGGTATGAAGCCAGAGAGATACCTGCAGGAACATGGGGAGACATGCAAACTCCACACACACACGCAGCCCCGGAGGTGTCGGGTATCAACGTTAATCCATTTTCCTGCGTTTTAATCATGTTTCTATTATTCCCTACCAAAAACTCACGAAACCTCAAGAAACATGGTCGTCAAGTCACAGCCAACCTTATCATTAGCCAATGATATGCTTTGTATTGATGAGTGACAGGGGAGGAGGCACTCCCAGGGCCAATCAGCTGTCAGCTGTGTCCAGTGCCCCTGTGGCCCCACCCCTGAATATGCCCCTAGTGTGTCATTCTCTCCAGCACCAGTAGGTGTTCACTTGATGTCAAATGTCAACGTCTATAGCAGATCGATGGCAATCGCATTCGAGGTGCATGTCTCATAAGTGCTGCCTTATTTCTGGATATTTATGAGGCCGCTTACGAACAGTCCTGCCAATGAATTTAGTTCTTATTTTTTATTGTTGACTGGAGAGACTTAAAGTAGCTGTTTGCTTAACAAATGCAGACAGGCCCCACACTCTCGCAGCGAGCAGCTCGTATGTCACCGGATTTGCACTGCTCTTTCCATTAAGCCGTCTGAGATTAAGTGCCCCTCTCACGAGCCCAACAGCCGAGCTCCTCTTAGGGCAAGGACCCTAAAATCCGCTGGTCCCAAGTCTGATTCCTTAACCGCTACGCCTCCTGTGGAATTTCATCCAACATCAACTCTTTTGTTCCGAGCAGCTGGCGTTTCAAGGGTATATATTTTATTATGTAAATGTTTTATTTTATTGGACTTTTTTGCGGTAAATCCATCAGGGGGCCTTCAGCGAAACCAGCATATATCATTTTTCATCTATCAGCGCTCTGAGTAAGAGAGGGCAAAGGCAGCATTGCTGGAGGACTGACAGTAGGGGGAGCTGCTGAGCTTCTCTATACCTCGAAGAGCTTTGCGGCTTTACAGAATAATCGAAGGTGTATCTTCCCCTGTCTCTAAGATGCACGGCCAACAGAAGGGAGTGCCATCTCGTGTAGGTCAGCCAAAGAACCCCTGCCCCCACCCCCACCTTGGGGGAATCTGACACAGACCCCCAGACTTCCCCAGGTCTCTCTTCTCATTTAATAGGAGGTCTGACCAGCCTGCTATTAGAGTCGAGTCCTTCTGTGATCTCTCCCTCGAGCCCCATGTACTCTGGGTGGCCAAATCAGGTTTTACCATATCAGTCATCCAGGCCGTGTGGCCTCCCAGACTTGTGCATGCATGTGCGCATGCTTCTCATGTGCATGCATGCGTGTTTGAATAGCCGCCAGAGCGTGCTTCTTACTCTTTGTTCCTAAGACGACTTCCAAAGTTACAGCGGGAAAACAACAATTAAATTCTAAAAGAAACAGAAAACAAAACCGTAGGTTTCTGTCTTCTATTTTTCTTTGCTGTTCTGGCAGAAAGCTCGTTAGCAGAGGGTGTGACTGCGCCCAGCCTGATTACTGCCTTTGCTGTCCTGTAACGAGCCCCTAAGCAGGGTGTTGATGGTTAATGTGTGGTTTCATGGACTTTGTCTGGCGTTCGGGGCCCGACATATGTTTACATGGCGTTTCCATGCCGACCGGCAGGACGTGCCAACGCAGGGCTCCCAGAGCTGTCATCGGCGGCCGCGGTTTCTGTTTTTCCACGTGCGATTCCCTCCAGAGCTTGTAAAACGAAAGGAGAAACGAAAGAGTGCAATTTAAGAGGAGAAGAACAGCGGTGAATATTCAAGGCGTGCAGTTTTACGTTTTATGGACGATTCTCGTCTAATTTCCACACACGGATTTCTCCACATTCTTATCTGTCATAAAACGGCACAAAAACACCTTCATCCCCCACTGTTTCATTGTCAAGGATTTATCATTTGAAGGCAAGACCTTCTTGAAGCAAAGTTGGATTCATGCTTAAAAAAAAACACTCATTGTCCAGCGCCTAAATACCTACGTTATTTTGTCATCAAATGCTGGACGCTGCTTGAGGAATCAGCAAACGGAGGTATAGTAATGGGGACATATACCCCAGTGAGGCAATTCTGGGACTTTTTTAAGGTGAGGGGCATAAGTGGATCCATAACACATACAGAGGGGCCGACCTTGTCATTATCCAATTATATGTTTTGAATCAAAGAGTGACAGGGGAGGGGGCCCAATCAGCTTTCATCTGAGGCCAGTGCCCATGTGACTCCGCCCCTGCATATGCCCCTCCTACCAGCGAGTTGTTAAAAATGCCACGACTCTTAGTGTCAGCTGCACTGCCACCTGGTCTGATGTAAAAATCTAGTGTAAGAGTCAGTGTGGGCGGGGAGGGAACAGAACCACGGAACTGGGATGCAAGGAGGAAACGTAGCCATTTTGGTGTAAGCCTGAGTGAAGAATGGAGGAAAACGGAATGGGTACTGGATGCTGCTATGTAGAGTAATGGAGAGAGTGTGGGACCATAATGCATACAGAGGGGCCAACCTTATTATTAGCCAATGACATGTTTTGAAGTGGTGAGTGACTGGGGAGGTGGCCAATCAGCTTTCAATCAGCTTCTGTGGCCATGTACATACCCCTAAAGAGTGGACTGGGCATCAGGGTGACTGTCTGTCCCGGGGGCGGCACATTATACCACATGGATAAATTAATTCATCACCGTTTCCCCCACCTAACTCCATCCCGAGCTTATGCAGCTACTTCTCACCAGGAAATTAATTCAGTGTGAAACGTGAGATTGCTTTGGCCATGAATGGAAAACTACTGCAATCTGCTGATTTGCAGAAAACGCTTGTGGTGTTGTGTTCGGGTTTTGGTCGGTTGTCAAAAATGCATCCGCAATGAACAACAGGACCAATCTGCCGGATTACGGAGGTGGATTTGTGCTTGACTGGCAGCTCCGGATTTGTGCTGCGATGCCATTGCTGTGATCCAAGGACACGGTATTCCAAATGCCCTGGGAGGGTTGGAATTTCACACCTGATTGTGACACAGCACGCTTGTAAGGTCCGCCATCCGGAAAAAAACGATGGGTCAGTGAAAACACCTGGCAGTGAGACCAGAGGTAACCAGCCTTGGTGAAGCTGTGGGAGGTCGGGGCAGCTCGCCCCCTCAAGGTCAGGAGGACCTGGGAGGTGTGGAAGAGGAACAGGGAGGAGATAAATACCAGCATACAGCATGGAATCCCATCCATAATGTTTGATGGAAAGTCATGTGTCTCTGGGTCATGTGACCCAGGTACCTGCATCACGTATGAGAGTCAATGGCGTATTTCCCCTCTTCCAGGTCACCATAGAAACACACGTGCAGACACACATGTGCGCAGACACACGTGCAGCCAACAGAAAGCACATCTGGGATCCAGAGCTTTTGGCGATTAAACTTAGCATTTTTATGTAAGCTGGGGGGGGGGGCGCTTCACTCCGTCCTCCTTCCCCATGCCATGGATGGTGTGCTAGAGGGGTCAACACTATAGGGGGAGATGCACAGACAGGAAGTGGTAAAATCTCAAATCAAATCCTGCCGTGACCCAGCGAGGCGTCAGAACCGGCCAAGCTTATACCCAGTCCTCTGCTGTGTGCCGCTACAGGGCGAGAGCACAGCTGAGCTTCCTCACCTCCCCTCCCCTCCCAGTGGCTGGGGGATCGTCATGTCAACACCACACAGACCGTGACGACCCCCCACCCCTCCCATACACTCAGCAAACCCCTGTATCAATCCAATAGACTCTCTGCTACTCAGTAATAAAGTGAATGTTCCGGAATGTTAAAATGGCTGCTTTCAGGGGCTGGAGTTTGTGTAGGCCGGGGCGGGGGGGGGGCAATTTTAGAGTTCACTGTCATCCGAAGCACATTTCAGGCATTTGCCAGAATATGGGTCTCCTTTAAAAACAGGGATATTTCCATTTTCTGCTAACTTTTATACCTCCAGGCATCCTCCGAAAAGCGGGAGCACATGGGAAGACAGACACGTCTGACATTTTATGTATTTAGTTTTTATGTACATGGATACTGCCAGGACAACTTTGTACATTGGAGACATAGTAGTAAAACACAGAGTTTCATCACAGGAAGGAGACATTTACAAAACAGGATGATAGACACAACAGCGCGTCCGAACATCGATCATACTTCATAGATTTACCGTTTTCTTAATCGGCATAATAATAATAATTAATATAAAAAAAAAAAACAGATGTATGAAATAATTTAAAGTCTTCTAATGTGTACTGTGGACATACCGCGTACATGGATAGCGACGGGGGCCGAGGGTACAGCCGGCGGGTTTTCCAGAACGTTCCGCTGAGGAGACCGGACGGACTAAAACAGGAAGGGGTACTCATGCAGCGACGAAGGAACACGAGACAACAAGTCCTCCCACCCACGTCAATCAGTGGCGGTGGTGGGACCCAGGCCGAAAAACAAAAACCCGCTGTCCAAACTGTCCAGAACGACCGCAGGGTTATGTAAACATAAATGTACACATCGATCTCTAAACAGTTCCAATACTGTCACAGGCCTTAAGCTGTGTGAGTAGTCAGTCCGTATACACTCCTTAGTAGAATATCGCTTAGAGTTAAATAAACTTCTTTTTTTAATATATATAATATATTTATTATTTACAAAGTCATTAACAAAACTTCCTCGTTTTGACCAGTTTGCTCTGGTACTTGACCGCATGGCCGCCATGGCCAACCACGTAAACATCTAGCAGATAGGACTTGCCCGGCTCCAGGCCCTTTATCGTTTCCGTGGTGACGGCCTTCTGGAGGTTTGGACTGTGGAAGTACTTGCAGAGGACCTTCTCAGACTTCTTGCGGGTCTCAGGCCCAGTGCACTGGTTCTGCTCGCGTCGCCGGTGTTCTTCACCGTAGGCGTCGTCAACCTCGCGCCGATAGACGCAGAATTTGTTCCTCTCCTGTGTGCCGAGCCAGGCTACGGTGACAGAGGTGCAGGTGCGGAGCTTATCGAAGGCCTTGATGCGTGTGTCCTCAGGCAGGGACGGGAAGGGCTGCTTGTTGGGCCGGGTCGTCGCCAAGAGCTTCAGCATGGATGCTCCCTTGCGACTTCCTCGAAGTCGCACCAGATACTTAGCCTTAGCTTTACCTCGGAGCTGAAATTGCCGCACGCCCTCGACGTTCTGGGAGAGGACCAGCTTCCCATCCCTCCGGACCTGGATCTGAACCGTATCCAGGCAGGAGTGGACATAGAACATGACTTTCTGGTGTGAGGATACAGGAGCGAACCTCAGGAACTTGCTGCCCTTTCGCTTGATGAAGATGTCGGTGACCTTGCCGTCCTTCAGCTCCAGGGTCTTCTGCTTGGCCTCCTCCTTGGTGCGGGCGAAGGTGCCCACGTAGGCTGTGCTCATGTTGCTGGCAGTGTTGACGGCAAAGACGTCAAAGTAGTACTGTGTGTCCGGTTTCAGGTCGGCCATGGTGAAGATGTTCTTGTTGCCGATGCAGATCTTCTGGATGTCCGCTTTGGGCTTGGCCATGTATGAGCGGGAGATCTTGTTACTCAGGGCCTTGTTGGAGGTGAAGGAGCGACCCTTGCCAAGGTCATTCTCCGAGGGGAACCCAAAGTGGATGAAGTCAAAGGGGCTGAAGTCAAGACCGGGCTTGGGAGCCACCATGAAGGCATCATCTCCCCCAATCTTAGCCTCGACGGCGCACAGACTCTTAAAGTTGTGCTCCTTGTTGACCACCACACAGTACTGCACTGGCTGCCTCAGACGGGACCCGGTGGGTGTTGGTTTCCAGGCCAACGTCACCGTGGTACGGCCAAGGGAGGTGACGTCCACCCGGGGATCGAAGGGCAGCTCTGGGTATGGCTGATCCGACTCAGGGGTGGTGGTGGCGTACACCTTGAAGCTGCTGTCCTTCTCAGTGGAGACAAGTTCCAGCTGGTACAGGCCAGATGGCGAGCTGGTGGCCATGTAGGACTCGACGTCGTTGCCTTTATAGGCGAAGAGCTCTGCCCCTTCCTCCTCCTCTGCCGTGGCTTGCTGCTTCTGCTGATCCAGCGGCTCTGGCTCGCCTGCGCAGACAAGACCGAGAAGCATTTTCATTCCCAACTCCGCGGAGACAGACATAACCAGCGTTTGTTCTAATTATACAGGAGTAGGAGCTCCTGCAATTATACCCAACCCTCCCCGGCGCACTGTGTTATTTCACTCGACTGGAAATTTCATTCAAACGAAGTACTGCTGGACTAGTGTCCAAGCCACATTTAAAACATATAACCCTGCCTCTGACATACCACACTGTGGGCACCGAACCCGAAACGGGATAAGATCACCCTGACATTTCTCCCAGCGCATTTGACTCTGTCCTAACTATGTTTACACCCCCTTGATGACTGTACAGCAGCAATGTGCAAAATTGTTTCCACTGGTCCTAGCCTAGGACCAACGGCTGCCCATAGAGGCCGCCGGTGATTTAAATCACAAGCAGTCACTCATGAGCCAAAGCTGCTGTTTTCACACAAAATAGCCCTTGGACATTCATTTAATTTTTTCTTTCCTGTCATGGCGTCAGAGGCAGTGGATTTGCTGCCTGCCCGCAACAGATTCGGTCCAAGGGCCTGAAAACAAAATATTATGTCTGCAAACTAGCCACTGTACTGGACGATGAACAGCAGGACTTTTGCAGCAGACTCTGGGGTCCTGCAGGACTGTGCAATGCATCTTCATTACTCAGCACTCTATCAGGCACCTACTCGGACACCTATATCCTTTGTTGTGAACGGCACAGCTCTACTCCCATCATTATTGTAGAAATACTCATAAATTGAAATATTTCTGTCTTTAACGGAAAAGGTTTTCTCTTATAGCTCTAAAAAGGTTAAATTCCTCTGCCTAGAAGGTGATATTTCTCTGGTTCAACACTGCCATTTAGACATGAAAAACCACCCTGTCAGGACCCCCCCACCCCCACTGCCCCCTCCACACACCACGTCATGAACACCACACAAGCTCTGCGTCTGGATGCTAATTGCACAGGGAGCTTGTGGGATCACTCTGGTTTCCTGAATCTCAGATACTGTCCAGATGGAGAGGGAGGAAAGGGGCGGGGGGTTCTTTAAAGGGAGGGGGGACAGATTTTGGTGCAAGGGGGGGTACAGGAGGGTTGTGACCTTTTTGGTGGAATTATACAGAGAGATGATTACGATCGTGGGAAAAATGATTACCCACGAATATCAGCCGGTTCCAGTTAGAGGGGCTTCCGTCGGAGACGTCCCATTCCATGCCACCCTACCCCCCCACATCTGACACCCAGAGAAAATCCCTCTTCTTTACCATTCAGAGGTACAGAGATGTGTATGTGCGTGTGTGTGGTCATGTGTATATTACAGTGTGATTAAAAAACCTGTTATTTTGTCATTGTGGGGACATTTTCCCTGACCCCCACAAAGGGAAACTCAAATCTGTGACTGTAATCAAAAAAATAAAAATGCCAAAAAAATCTTGTATTTTGTTTGGTTACTTACGGTTAAGGTTAGGACTATATTTCGGAAAATTGCCTCCACAGAGACAGAAAAACCTTAATTTAAAAACACTCTCTGGCAGTGTGCCAAAGCTTTATCTCTCTGCCAGTTTCCAAGTAGTTTTGAGTTTTATTAGGTGAAGTAGTGAAGTAAATCAGGACTTGTATGTTACTGCATACTGTACATTGTATGCACTTGTATATTGTATATATATTGTATATGGCATGATTATTGTATCTATGCAGTATATATGTCTAATGTATATCGTTGCTGTTCAATGTAAAACTCCTATCTCCCAAATTCCAATATTTCAGTAGCGTGAAAACTGCTTTACAAAGTAAACCTAAAGCAATATGATGAGACACCGCGACATCCATTTTCTGACACCGCTTATCCTGTTCAGGGTTGTGGGGGGTCCAGAGCCTATCCCAGAGTCTATGGGCGCAAGGCAGGGAACAACCCAGGGTGGGGCGCCCACCCATAGCAGGGCAGACTCACACATGCACACCTAGGGGCAATTTGGAAACTGCAATTAGCCTCAGCATGTTTTTGGATGGTGGGGGGAAAGCAGAGAACCCAGGGGAAACCCCACAATGACACGGGGAGAACATGCAAACACACACACACACACAGGAGCAGGTTCTGAAGTGTAGGCAACAGTAAAAAAAGTACGCCACTGTGCCGCCCCCTTATTTTCTGTTTATTGCTCTTTCCCAGTGTTTCCCTATCTGGACCTCGGGACTCTCAGACAGTCCTACCGGGACCTGGGAGGGAGCAAAAACGTGGACTGTGGGTCTCCAAGGACCAGACTGGCAAACACTGTTCTTTAGCATCATATGTTACTGCAGGGAGGTGCATAAGCAAGAACTTAATTCGGGTTGTGATGCTGCCAGATGCCTTATGGTTTTGCATTTGTACAAAGGACAGTAAAGCTTTAACGATGGCACCCCCTGCCCCCCCCCCTCACCAGAGGCCTCCCCGCTCGCGTCCTCGGGCAGTTCCTGCAGCGTGAGCCTCCACTCCAGCGGCGCGTCGCACGGCGTCACCGTCACCGACAGCGGCGTGTTGTCCTCCTCCACCACAAAGTAGTACCTGCAAGGGGGTGGGGACAGGGAGCCCAGTGTCAGCCCGACCGCGGCCGCCCAAAATACCCCGGCAGCTAAGCCCGGCGCCGCCAGCCTCCTCGCCCCCTGCCATCGGCACCCATTTATCAGCACCCGTGCTGAGGTGCAGCTCAACCTGATATTTTAATCCCGTTTACACAGGCGGGTATTTTTAACCAGGGGCAGGTTGAGTGGTTAAAGGGGGGGGGGTGTTCTTGCTCTGCTCAACCACAAGGCCGGTTCCTCAAACACTGCGCCTCCTGCTGTCTGCCGTGAGTATGTTCCGTTCTGTTTGCGCCTGGGTGGCGGCTCTCCCTGCTTGACACCAGGACACTTTAATAAACTTTAATGTGTTGCCGTACGAAGCCGTGACGGAGCGCTCTCTCTCTGCACTCGTGAAAAGGCTCCGGGGCGGCGTGATGGAGCGGCTCCTCTAATAGCCCGGTGTGGTGAAGAGCAGAAATGAAACACGACAGGAGACACATTCAGCCGCCTGTGCTGCTGCTCTGCTCTGCCTGTCATGTGCATCCAGTCTCAAAATTAACTGGACAGCAAGTATAACGGAAATGATAACAGTAACCAATGCACTAGATAAGTGCTTATGGGTGACGGGTGGCTGTACAACAACAACGACAATTTATTCAAGCCCAATTCTGTGAAACTAGTTTTTGAACACTGATTACATTTTCGTACATATTTTTCATGTAAAAAAAAAACATGTGGCACTAGGTTTCAGATGTTTAGTAAGGATAATCGTGGAATTAACGTTTTGTTGATATGCTGCGCGAGTTTGGGAAGCAAACAGCCTCCGTTTACTTCATGAGATCAGGGAGAATGAGCGACGTCAGCGTTCATCAGGATCTGGACTCGCAAGTAGCCTGTGTTTTAATTGGGTGGGATGATAGAAATGATCCCAGGGTGTGGATTGCAGGGTGCAGCCTTTTACTGCACCATGGGAAAGAAGCAGCTCAATTACACCAGAAACTCAGAACTGGAATTTTGCCATAAGAACATAAGAAATTTACAAACGAGAGGAGGCCATTCGGCCCATCAAGCTCGCTTGGGGAGAACTTAACTAATAGCTCAGAGTTGTTAAAATCTTATCTAGCTCTGATTT